TGCAGCATGTTTACTTTACACATATTTGATTTTGTCCTTTGCAAACGTTATTGGCACTGTGACGCTTGTTTCCATTGCTGCATGAGTGATGTAGTCCTCTTCCCTCATTTTATATGGGCATGGATCGTGTTTGCTTGTCAAGCAGGATGGAAGGCAATTCAATTCGATGGGCAAGAATGCGTTGGTTTAGCCAGCAACCATTTTATTGGAATGGCGGACAGGCAGCATGGCAGCATGGCAGTAAAACCTAATACATCCATTTAAAGTGCTCCTTTAAAGCTATCCACATTTTCCCGGCACTTGTACAGAGTTTTGTCACAATATATGAGTGAAGTTTCGAATCGATAAAATATTATTGAGTCAATATTCATCTAATTAAATATCGATTAGGAATATACTTGTGTGAAATACGTATTTGGAGTTATTATACCAAATGAAGACTTAGAACAAATCTTGACTGAAAGACTAATTTATATTTAAATACTATTACACAATACCACAGTAAAATATACTTTATTTAACAGTTCTGCTCTACTACTTTTTTTTCCTATTTAACACACATTTGTTGTAATTCCTCGGTTATTTGACAGCAACTTTCTGGGGACTATTATTATGCTTTAAACCCGTTGCCATTTCTGAGTCGACAGTCCAGTCGAGGCCCCGCAGGGAGTCCACTTTTATGCTGCAATTCTCTGTTGAATACGCTTTTATTTTGTTACTGGTTACTATTCTAGTGCCAGGGGGCTCGTTTCCTGTTCAAATAGTCAAACAGAGAGATATAGAGACAGAGAGAGACAGAGACAGAGACAGAGAGAGACAGAGACAGAGACAGAGAGAGACAGAGAAGGAGAACTGGCAGACAAGCGACTGTCAAAGGATGCTGCCTTTACTTAGCGTTGGCATTAAGCGCCACATAAAAAGTCCTCGCATAAAAAATAAACCAATAATATTTACCAACGGGGAATTTAAGTTTCCTTATTGTCAGTCATTGTAGCGAAAGTCATGCAAATATTTTCATTTTAAAGCCAAGTTAAGTGTAAGAATTTAAGTAACTGACGTTTATATATTAAAGCATAAATCATTATTGATTACCACAGAGCCGAAGACCACCCAATTCTCAACAGACTGTGGCTAAGCCTACCAAATGATGTGCTCAGTGTTATGTTAGCTACGGCTTATGGCTTAGGTCCACGTGCTGCAATCATTTGTCATAATTTAAGCAACACGAAATCCTTTTAAAATGGTTAGAGTTAAGTGTGCCAATGATGATTTATTACAAGTACTCGTTTTCTTTATTTACTGAATGTATTTTTCAATATGTTTTCAAGGTACAACAAATATTATGCTTCAATAGAATGTAGAGAATTTTATAAAATAATTTTAAATTTACTAAATTGATAAATGATAAACACATATAAATTTCTCAAGGAAAGAGTGTTTAAATATACTCTGAGGGAATATTTGAACTCCAACACCATATAAACTGTTAAGCCGTTAAAAGTAGAGTAGAAGATTAGTATAAGTGCAAAAAAAAAAAAAAAAAAAAAAACAGAACAACATTAAAATCATTTGTGGGTTGTACAAATGTTGAATTTTCATTACCCCATACGACTGTGTATACCCTGCAACCATCAAATGAGTCGGAGAAAGTGAAACCATGCTGAAATTGGGCACATGTAGGGTCAAATAGAAGAGGAAATATGCCCAGGAACCATTTAGATATGCGATGAGGGTACTTGCTAGTCGAGCAAACTTGCCAAAAAGTAATTTGTTTTTCATTTTTTTTTTTTTGGGTTTTCTTTTTGTCGGTCTCTGTTCTCAGTTGTGCTATATACATCTGGACAAATGTTCTTTTTATGACCACCAAATGCGTGTGTAATTATGCCTCGTACTGAGCGCCCTGGGCAACATTTCAGCTGGCCACTACAAATGTGGCTGGCTGGCCAACTGGTAGCGTGCTTACTGCTACATAGATATATATAATAAACATATATATATGTATATATATATGCATATATATATATATTATATTACTTATTTGCACACAGACATATACATTGTCGCATGTTGTACATGCATTTGTGTTGCTTGGGTTTAGTGGCATTGAATTGCCCCAACAATTATTATGATGACTGATAAGCGGCACACACAGCCACACACACAGTCACACACACGGCAAGTCACGCACACACACTAAAACAACGAGGCAACATTTGGCTTGCTACGTGATGGCTGGTCATATTCTTTGCGTGTACGCAGTATGGGGCATGGGGTTAACATAATGTGGGGCGTATACGTAATGCGGCATGCTTAAAAACTCAGCCAGCGCCGCGTTTAGTTGCAATGCGAGCACATGACATTTGTGGCAACATTTAGGACCGCCTCGGTTGCCTTGGCTTTTTTTTGGGCGGGCTCCCTCCACATGCCACCACATGCGCATATGCGCTTGTGTGAGTGTGTGTGTGTGTGTGTGTGTAATTCACCTTGCCTCACATGTGTCTGCTCTCATTGTCATTCCATTTATGTGGCTGTGACTGCCTCACTTGGTCATGTTTCGTGCCTTTCAGGCTGCTCTGTCGTTTTTCTCCCCTTCTTTCTTTTGTAGTTGTTGTTTTTGTATTGTTTATTATTCTTTTATTATTATCGCAACTGTGCGTTTTTGTTTGTTTACCAGCCTGCGTGGCTGCTTGTCCTTATGCGGGTGCCATTATTTCAACAAAGCTGCAAATTAAAGACAAAGCACACACAAAACTCGCTGATGAATTGCCAGATAATTAAATATGCCAAAATGCCAAATGGATCTGTCCCTGTGTCCCTGTGGCTAACTGAAGGACACACGCTGCAAGGGAGTACAGGTGGACAGACTGACAGAGTGACAGAATGGAGCTTAGTTGAAATTAGCATTTTGAAATAAATGTCAATTGCTGGCAAATTAATTGTTTTCAAAGCTTAAATCTAAATGCAAAAAAATCCAAGTGAAATTATTGAAGCTCCCACGTAACAGCTCGGAAAATTCGTTTATGCCATCAAATAAAAGCCCTACTTTTAATTTATTAACGTAAACTGTCAACAACAAATGATGTCAATAAAAAATCGTGAAGCTTTATAAATAAAACAGTTTTACCATCATTTTAATTATTTAAATTCCCACCCTTTCCTTTAAATGTGTGATAAAGCTTACATGGGTATTGGTAATTGAAAAATTCAATAAATCCAATTAGCGGAGTAGGAATATTTATTATTATATATTAGTTAGTGCTTGGTGACTTGTGTATGAGAATCTTGTTAAATATGATAAGTATAAAATATATTTGATAGTCAAATGTCACTTCAAGCTAAATGACTTATTTATTAAATTTAATGAAGCTATTACCAATAACTAAATAGCCACATTATTCACACAAATCTCTAAGTATACTCATGGTCTTAACTAACAAGAACTGCTCACCTGTCTTTTGATTGTTTATGCCGCTTATACCATGAAAATGCAGCACTTTAATCACAATCCAGATGACTTCGTTGTTGCTTTTCGGATTTGGCTCAGAAACGAGTATTTAGGTTTTGAGTTGGTCGAGTATTTGGCATTAAGACCGAAAGCAAATACTTGACTTATTTTCCGTTGTGCATAATTTTAGGGTCAGGCAAGGTATTTCAGCATTTAATTAAAATATTGCGCATTCGCCACGTGGCACAACCGGCAAAGTAGGTTAAACTTATGCATTCGTTATTCCGGACTATTCTGGGTTGAAAACACCTCCAAAAAGCGCGACCGCTGCCAGACGTGGCCACATCCCACATCAGCAACAACTACCAGCGAAAGGGCATTAAAAAAAAGTCCTCAACTGAGCACGCCAAGCCGCCTGTATATGTGTGTGTGTGTGTATGTGTGTGTGCATGTGTGTGTGTGTGTGTGTGTGTGTGTGTGTTCATAAAAATAGTTAATTTCACTAAAACCAAAACAATAACAGTACAGACTAAAACCAAATTGCTTTTACTTTTACTCGGCTAAAGCGCCCCATCGGGCCAAAATGTAATAAAGTTTTTTTTCTATAGTCCTATTTCTTGCCACACGCATTCACACTCGGTGGGCCACGTGTATTTAGTGAACTTGTGTTATTATTATTTATTTATTACTCATTATTATTCACCAATGCTTCAACCCTGATTTCCTCTCATTTTCGGGTACTTTTAGTTAGAATGCTCGCACCTTAATTTTTGTTCTCCTACAATTAACGTAAGATTCACAACACGTACTTTTTGCCGTTTGACATTCTGTTGCGTTTGGCTTGAAGTTTGTCCGTCTTTCGCTGGGCGCTTTTACCGCAGACGAAGCCGACAAAAAACTAAAGTTCATCAACGGTACATTTATTGGCAGCGCCTGCATTGGCTGAGGCAGCGGCAGCGACGCGAACGCACATTTGACATTTGCGGAGTTTGCGCATTGAAAGCGCCTTCAAATCAAAACAAATTTAACACTTGGCTGGTGTGCGAATCAAAAAAACTTATTTAAGAAACTTTATTTTTTGAATTCATTTGTTGCACTTTAAGATATTGTGAATTGATATTTATAAGATGTTGAAAGATCATATTTTAGCTTAATATTTCTCGAATACGGCAAAATTTTGAAGAAAATCAATTTTCAGAACCCCTTTCAAATATTCAAAAGCGCCATCTATTTCTCGGCAGCCTAACTACAGCATGCATACGACTCGAAGCTAACTGCTTCGAAAAACTCATCCAGTTCACAGTTGACGCGCATGCTTCAAAAGCGAGAGCGAGTCAAACATATGTAATGACAACGCAGGGTTGCTTTTACACATTGGCGGAAAAGCGCTGAAATTTGAATTTAAATAATCTTAACAAATATAAAAAATTGCAGATAAGAGTTTAATAGAATATTAATTCGTAAGACTTAGTATTAAACAATTTATAGAATGTTTTTTAATAAGAAATAATTATAAATAGAAAAAGATTAAATAAGCATTTCAGTTTTAAGCTCAATAAAGTAAAATAATTTTTGGGCAAGGCTTTGTATAAACTTTTGAAATAGTGAGTCACATGATATGGCCATATTAATTGGCTGACTGAAGATTGTTAAAGCATAGTGTTTCCTAACATATAACACATATAATAACTGTGCACCACTTAAGCTAATGACTCCTACAAAACTAAAGAATAAATATCAAATACTAATATTAATGCACTCCTCGCTTAGGAGTCTGCTGGGGTTATTCTCATTCGCCACGCATTCTTGATCATATCCGCCGCCTTCTCGGCAATCATGATGACAATGGCATTCGTGTGACCAGCCGGCACATGTGGCATAATAGAAGCATCTGCCACGCGCAGATGTTGAATGCCATGAACTCTCAGCTCCGGATCAACAACAGCCGTAGCATCCGTAGAGGGACCCATCTTGCAGGTGCCCGACTGATGCTGCAAACTGGAGCCATAAAGGCGCAGACAACAGCGCCAATAGTCATTGCTGGCAAAGATCAGGTGCTCACAGCCGGGAAAAGGACGCGCATGGAACCGCGTGCCAATCTTCTTCATCGACTTGGTGCGTGCCAGCTGCAGAATCTGCAGGATAAATCACAAGAAAGATGTTGTAAGGAATACTAATTTCAGAGTATATGTTCCTCGTCAAATCATAAATATGCTGTTATATTTATGGTGTAAAATTACCATCTCAATGCCCTCGATCATGGCGCGGACATCGTCCGGATGCTGCATAAAGTTGGATTCCATGCGTGGCCAGTGGAAGGGATTGCGAGTGCGCAGCGAGATGCGACCCGTACTCTTTGGCCGGAGCAGCACCGGGACCAGTCCAAAGGTTTCCTTGTGCTGCATGTCTCCATACATTTTCTGATAGAACTCATCCGTGATGCCGAGTAAGTCCCGCAGAGTGCCAAAGCGATCGCCGCTGAGAGAGCCAGCGCCCAACACAAGCTCCATATCTGCATAGTCCTTAGCTGCGTCATAAGAGATCCAAAGTTAGTTAAGCACAGTTGAGAGAACGAAGAGATGAGTTCTCACCAAAGCTGGAACTTGGAGTGCGCACAAAGGCAAATGCTTCGGCACCTCCTGGAATAGTATAAGGTCCCTGGCCGGCAAAGATGTAGCGAAAGATGTCCGTGGGATTGAGCAGACGTGCATCGTTCACTGTGGAATCATTTACCATAAACACCAGTCCGTTCAGTGTAACATGATCCTGCAGATTGTAGCCAACGGGCAGGTCCTGCATCACATCAATGCTGTGCTCCTCCAGATGAGCACGCGGACCCACGCCCGAAAGCAGCAACAACTGCGGACTGGCAATGGCACCTGCAGATAGGATGACCTCCTTGCTGGCACGCACCACGAAACGCTGGCGCTGCTTGGTGAACTCCACTCCGACCGCCACCTTGGTGCTGGGATCAATGAGCAACTTAGTCACCCAGCTCTTCATCGATATGTGCAGATTGCGTCGCTGCAGCACCGGCTGAATGAAGGCCTTGCTGGTGCTACAGCGTCTGCCCTGCCGTATGGTTGCCTGGGCCCGGGCAAAGCCCATCAGCTGCTCCCCATTCGTGTCCGTTATGTCGTAGCCCAGTTCGCGACTCGACTTGAGGAAGGCCTTCAACGGTCGCGACTTGTAGTCCGTATACTGCACATCCAGCACTCCGTTCCGTCCATGATACGGCGACTTGTACAGATCGGGAATGCCAATACGCTCGGACTTCTTAAAGTATGGCAACACCTCCGCATAAGACCAGCCCGTATTATTGGCCGCCGCCCAGCCATCGTAATCGCGGCGATGTCCACGGGTATACAGCATAAAGTTGATCAGTGAAGTGCCACCGATGCCGCGTCCCTTTGGCCAGTTGCAGACTCCGTTGCGCAGACCCTGGCAGGCGTTGGGTGTGGCGTCCGCCTTGTAGCCCCAGTTGTAGCGCGTCGTTTGGGTCAATGCTGCCGTCAGCGGCACATCGCTGATGAATGTCTCCTGGTCGCCGGCCTCCAGCAGCAGGACGCGAGCCGTGCTAATCTCACTCAGTCGATTGGCCAGCACACAGCCCGCCGAGCCGGCGCCAACAATGATGAAGTCATATTCCGGCAGAAAGGATGTGGTGTCCGGTATCCGTGTGTTCAGCAGCGATGTCTCGAAATCCCGCACAAGATCGACCAGCATCTGGCAGCGGCAGCATTCCAGGCCCAAACAAAATATCAGCAAATGTGCCAATCGCATCTTCAATGTTATGTGTAACTTTAAACAGAACAAAATTTGGCTAGTGTAAAGTAATCATTGCATATTCAAATTCAGCTTTTAAAAAAATATTTAAAGTTCTTAATGCAGCTCGCATTTCTTGATTATTTTCAGTGTAGGTATATTCTTTAATTGCAGTAAGCATAGCATGCTTATTATTAGCACTTCTTAGATACTTTTCAGCTAGAACGTGTTAATTGCAAACGACCTTCGATTTTATTTGCAACTCAAATGAATATGGTCCACTGCATTTTTCGCACCCGCAGCTACCGAAATTCTCTGCTATCTGGTGAGTATATATCTTTTTTAGCTCAAGTTCAACGAGTTGCCGATTACATCGATACACGCGAGGCGAGCTGCCAATAAAAATAATGTTCATGCAAAAAGTAAGAAACAAGAAAGCAAAACAATAACAAACCATATACATATATATGGAAACCGGTTCGCGATCAAAACAGAAAAACTGAAGAAGTAACCAAAGCGAAATTCACAAAATAATTCGAGCGCAATCCAAGCAAAAATTTGGCCCGTTGACGTTGACCCATAAAACGAACGCGGATGTTCATTACAGATACTCGGTCAAAATCAAGAAAATATAAACAAAATGTATAAAATCAATAAATTTGAAATAAGAAAACATTAGAACAACAACTGCTAAATACTCTATTAAGGATTTGCATTCAAAAATATTAAGAGCGACAATGCTGTTAAAACTATTTTATATGTTAATAATATTATTTTCAATACATCATTTGGAACAGTTTATTCTTTTAATTAAAGTTATTGCATTTTCTTGGATGTATTTACTTTTATATATTTATATTCGATTAAACTAGATTTAATTTGTAACAGCATTAGTGCCATAGCCATTATACTCCTCTGGAGCACAAAAGAGGTAGGGAAAAAATTGTGGGCGCGATGTGATTCCAAAAATTACTTTATATGCAAATTAAAATGGGTTTTTTTTAACATTTAGGCAAAAATTGCACAAATAAAAATAGGAGAGAAAGAGTGGAATTTCAATTAACCCCAATACATTGTAGACCAAAAATGAATATAAGGCCGGCGAACTGGTTTCGTATTGCACAAATAAGTTTTCATATTGAGATCCGTTTACAACTGTCATTGTCTCAGCACAATTAGTTCTACGTGCACAGCCTTCAATAGGCTTTTGTCACTTGTCATTGTATGCGCCACTTCTTTTGTCTTTGAAATACAAGAAGAGCCCATTAATAACCGGTCATTGTACAACGATCGGTCTCCAGTATACAGAACTGACCTGCCTCAAAGACTCAAAGGGTTATGGGCGAGCGAAGGGCGCTGTGCTCGTTAAAGTTCTGCTTGTCTGTCCAAGGAAAAACAGGTTACACTCAACTTACTACTTATACAAGTAGTAACATGTCACACAAGTAATTTTTTATTTATAGCACACTCATTTTTCAATCAGCGATAATTGCTCCGCATTGCCACATGCCGCTTGCCCCTTAATTATTAATATGCCCCGACATTGGGCTTATTAACTGTGTCCAATTAGCCAAACTTATCCACTTATAACTGCTACCGAGACGAATTCTTGAAGGGGGTCATGGGAGACTTGGATAAGTGAAGAAAGGTTATCAGATATTATTCAGATAACATTTGGACTAATTTAAAATTTTATTAACTTTTCCGGTGCTTAGATTTTCGAAACAGTTTATAATGTAGCTCGTGAATAAATTAAGATGATTTAATTTTTATGCAACTTCAAGATCAGTAATTATAGATATGTTTATAAAATGCAATTCCCAATTTATTTATGTTTTTTTTTTTTTAATTTTTAATTTTCACTTCTTAATTGAAATATTTCAATTGAGTCAAACAGGAACGTTAAAATATTTTCATTTCACGCGCTCAATTTCTGATGAAACGTTGCCACAAATCACATCATGACTATTTTTGGTCCCCATGTAAGCGCTACTTGGTCGATAAAATACAAAATCACATATATTAGACACATGCTGTGCAACAATTGCGAAAAATAAACACACTCTCGCAGATCCGGCTCAAATCAATTAATTCGCTTTTTATGTTGTGAAATTCTAAACACGTTTTCTGATGCTGTTTGCATGCTTAGAATGCACTTACGCAATGGGCGCGTTGCTCTCCTTATTCGATACACCAGAGCTCTATATTGTTTTCGATATTTCTACTATAGTTTTTTCGCTATTTTGTTTTTGTTTTTGTTTTTGTTTTTTCTTGCAATCAGTTGAAATTCGACAGCTTCTGCGCATGCGCGCGCTTTGCTGTCCGCTGGTTAAATGAACGCAGCTGCCGCCGCATGCAGCGATGAAGCCTATGCGGGACGACTCAAGACAGATAGCTGGCGGTTAAGTCGGTCAGTTTAGCGGGCTACGTTTGGGACAACACGCCAGCCAGCCAGCCAGTTGGCCCATTAGCCCAATACCACTGGCCGACCAAAAGTTACAGTTGTTGTGCCGTCTCTTTGGCGCGAACGATTTCAAGTTCATCGCGTGAACTTGCAAATTTCAGTCGATTTTATTTACATTTCGCTTTAAACTATTTTCGGCATCTTTGCCATTGCCCCGTTTCGCCAGTTTCGGCCATTCACGTTGTGTGTTTTGCATTAGTCATAACCAAATGATTTGAATATTTTGACTGATGTTTGATTAGCAGCTTTTTATGCTCGTAATCTACTCCCAGCCAAACTATGCGGTAATCAAAATATTGGTGGTATCCTATTAGCATTCAGTTGCGAACAAATAAAACTATGATCTGTAAATTAAGCTTCCGCCATTTAGCCATGTTTGCTTTGCTAACTCAACTGTTGTTTACCTTTCAAGTTCAATGTCATGAATTGCTGCGCTACTTGTATCTGTGTATCTTGTATCTATGCAGTCAAGTGTTCAAATGACTTCATGCTACAACGATTACAAATATAAGGGGCAGCAATATAAATTTGCATTCGAAAAACATTAAATTCCAATTCATTAATGGCAAGACAGGCAACAACAAATACTTGTGAGAGTCTTTAGCTTAAGCTTCATTTGGTCAGATTTCCAATTTATGCTGCTTTTGTTGCCACTTTCATCATCAATTTTGCCGCATTTGTGATTCGCAAATGACCTTCAGTACCGGCGTGGCAACCATATCATTGTGTATATTTATAGTTTACATTTATATATAAGGGTAAATATTTTCCGTAGGTTAATATCTGAAATTCAAACAAATTGTTGCATTGTGCATTTTGAACGGATCGCGCGCCTTTGTTTAAATTTTAAACGTTCGTTCATATTTGATATTTGCACAGATTTTATGCATATTCATTTTGCATGACTTGGCAACTGTAAAATTGACTGGTGTTTGATTATAATCAAGTGCACATACTCTCAATTGCTCGGCTCACAGCAGTCGATAGTTATAATTGTAAATACCTCAAAGGCTTAAACAAAACGCAACTAATTAAATTTCAAACGCTAAACAATAAAAAACGAATGTGTCTGCTCTTTGATAAAGTGTCAAAAAGTGATAGTATACTTGTTAATTTGCCAATAGCGCTAGATGAATAAGCAATTTTCGAATGGAAATAAACAAAAAACAAAGAAAGAAAATAAATAAAATTAAAAATAAATAAATAATGGATTTCGATTGCCCAAGAAGGGTAATTCCCACTTCTAAATATGAAATGCTTGTGCAGAAAAGCCAATATTTAAACGTCACTCCTAGATTTCTGGCTTCTATAACTAACTACTCACATACTATTTTGGTCACGGTTTGTCCTCTCAATTGATTTCGAATTGTATTTGTGAACTTGCATTTACATTTAACAAAGTAAATATGCCATAGACAAACACAAATACTCGTGATTTTAGAATAAATGGTATAACAAGGACGATCTCGAGCTACCCGGGTTGATTTCATAATATTTTGCAAGCAGCATCAAATATTTGCATGCTTTTTGCACATGCTAATTCTCTAACTAAAGTCTGCTAATGCAATTCAGTTATTAGTTGAACCTTGTTGACTTATGAAATTAAAATTGAATTTCGTTTTATGCATTTGACACGCCACATTTGTCATTGAAAGTGCATTGTCCATGAGAGTTGCTGATTTAGCACTCGGGCATCAACTTCAGTAATACAAAATAGACCACTACATACAAAAAAAGTGGGCAATAATTAATTTCCGTACTCTAATCGGTCAACCAAGTAAGCAACTAGACAATGACCTTGTCAAGGTTAATTGAAAACATCCGCTAATATCTTGATGTTAACAATTTTCGAGTGACCAATGGATGTGGGCATCTGACCAACATTCACACGCTACCTGATTTCTATAAAAAATTACAGTCACAAACACTAAGTAAATTATGAAAAGACACAGACGCAATTGGAGCTCATCTTCAAATTTGAAGACGTGACAAACATGCTCAAACATAAAGGTCCCCTTGGACCCATCAAGTGATCTGTGTGCTTGAATTTAATGTCTGGACACTGTCATTTGGGCTGGGCGATGGTCGTAATTCACGTGCCTAACACCAAATGCCGTTATAAAAATGAAGACGTGAGCAGCACACATAAAAGCCTCAACATGCCGAATAAAACTCAAAAATGCCTATAAAACTAATAACAACTTCGAAAAAACAAGGCAAATGTAAAATTGTTTTGTAAAATGATTCGCATATCTGACGGCAATTGAGCCAAAAATAAGCCAGAGAAAAGCTAAAAATCATAAGCAGAGTGTCGAAAGACGCTGAATGGCACTCAAAAGGCTTTTGGTCATGAGCAGATGTCGCGCTGGGAGCGGATTAATTGAATGAACTTGAAACAATTGAAGTGTAATTTCATATTGAATGCCAATAAGATGCGAGATGTGTAAAGCATGCAGCACGCGAAGGGGCATTCCAGAAATGAAGCGTGCCTAATTCGTGGAACTGGCCCAGTTACATGAAATGAAAGTCAAGTCTTTACTGAGGAATATTTTCTAACTTCAATGCTTAAATTATAACTTTTAAACTTGACTAAGAAATTAAGTGAAATGACATGCGAGCATTAAATCACATATCAAAGTTGGCTTACGCTTCTGGGAACACGCTGCGTAATTTATTCATGATTCATGACTGATTTGACAAGCTGAACGTCAACTTTTTGAAACGGTCTTTGAACGCTTTGATTGGTGTTATTGACACGACCACTGAGTGTGCGTCTTATGGCTTTTGTTGTTGTTGTTAATACGATTGATATTGAAGTTATTGTTGCTTCTATTGAAATTTACAGTGAATAAATAAAAGTTGATATTAATTGTTTCACTTCAATAAAATGAAATTTATTTAAAATTTGTATTTTGATTATTCAAGTTTTTCTCTATTTACTATAAATTGATTATTATAACATTTAGGGAAGTAGAAAATTAAAAACAAATGTTACAATATCATAAATATATGGGAGTGAATTTAAATGTAAGAATTCCAATAAGTTATGCTTGAACTGTTTTGGTTTCCATGTGAACTTATGATATAGTATATTAATTATTGGTAATGAATTCTGACGATCAATTAATTACGTATATTGGCTTCCTACGCTTAGATTTAATAAATAAATTGCTTGGCATTGAAATTTCTTTGTTAACTTAATGCAACTCTTTGTATAAAGCGTAAAGCGTAATAGTTGGAAAATGATTATGCCAGTTGTATCTTTTGTGTAAACCTATAGCACTAAAATATATATTACTAAAGTTTTTAAATATGTATTTATGAATTAATTGTTGGATGTACAAAATGTTGAACATAAACATACTTAGCAACTACATAAAAGTATTTCATTCTTGACTTTTCATATCTGTCACAAATATTTTGATGTATATCTTTATGCATTATTTCTGATCTTTGTTTTGTTTATATTCAAATATTAAACTTACACTTGTTATTTCTTTAATGTAATCAGTACGAATTGCTCAAAACTCAATCCCGCGTGTCACAAAAATCATCCATTGGAAGCAAAAATCTTATTATTTTTAAGCAAACTTGAATTTAAAGTATTTTTCGTTTAATTTTCTGATTGCAAACGTTATGTTTTTTGATATCTTTTATTCATTCGTATTCCTGCGAATCCTACAATATTTTTTCAATTCTTTCGAGTCGAATGTATTTCTGTGACACATTGAAACACGGCGTTTTCCGGCAAACACCCAAAAGTATGCAGCAGTTTTTGTATTGTGCATCGCTTAGTGGCGCAACAACATGTTGCTCATTTTATTGGCCGCGTCCGCTTTGGACGTGATTTTCTCACGAAAATGCCTATTCTCGGGATTGGCCAGCACCGAGGCAATGAACTCGGATGTCTCCAGCTGCAGCTGTGCCAATCGCTTCTGCAGCAATTTATTGCGCTGCACCAGCCTGATAGTCTTAACGGCTATGGAGAGCAGGCCCTCGTGGTGTGTGTGGTATTGTTGCTGCTGCTTAATTGGCTCGAGGGCAAACTCATAGCCACTGTCACCATCGCTCTGATCCTCCTCCTCCTTCTCATCGTCATCGTCATCGTCCTCCTCCATGCTTGAAACATGATCACAGTGTTTGGCTATTGATGTCTTACTAGTTGCATTGCCACCGCAGTTGCTGCTATTACTGTTAGCAGCTGTGGGTTGTAATACTGTTTTAATATTGTTGTTGCTGCTTTTGCTACAGCTGCTGCTGCTGCTGCTATTGCTGCTGCTGCTGCTGCTACTACTGCTGCTGCTGCTGGTACTGCTGCTGCTGCTAGTACTGCTGCTGGAATGTATGCGTGCTATCTGCGTGCTCGTCTCATTGCAATCATCGAACTCCATGAGCTCCACTTGCTTTGACTTTGTCTCCCCACCAGCTCCACTCGATGCTGATGTCACGCGCTTCGCCTGCTGTTGCAGTCTGTGGGGCAGCCTGAGGCCACGGCGGTGTGGCAAACGACCCGCCGAGTGCGTCGAACCTTTGGCAACTGCAAGAATAAACAAAAGAAAACGGTTAGCTGCGGTCAAATTTCAATCAACTTGAGAATCACAAACAGAATATAAATCACAAGCTCTGCGCACAGTGGTACAATTTCGAAAATAATTCGCTTTTCAATGACTCAAACCATCTGGCCCCCTAAGTATGCCATATCTTATTTTGTAGCTACAAAGAGTCAACTTTTTTATTTAGCTTCATTTTAGGCATGCAAAACTTTAATGAGTTTTTCAAAAATAGAAACAAAATGTAACTTATTAATTTGTTGTAAAATTATAATTAATAAAATCAATATAATGAATAGGAATGCAATCACGAATATGTAGTTGGCAGAGCTAATCACTCATTTAGAATGTAAGCTTGATTGCGTGGCATTTGCTTATCACTCGCCTACTTTTCACCATGTGTTTGTGCTTTGTGTGTGTCGCAAAACGTGACCACAGCTGGGGCCAGCTGTCGAGAAGCGACATCGGCGCCTCGAATCAATTTGCAATAATAGTCAGGGAGCACATGGCCAATGCAAAGCGCTTAGCTAAACACGCTCGGACAGCTGAAATCATGGGTAACTCACACACTTGTGCGACTGCAGTTACGAGCATCCACAGCAAACAGATGTACAAATATTTGACAGAGGCAACTGTAGGGGCATCAGCAGCCACTGGCGCGACTACGACTACGACGGCAGCTCCAGCTGAAATCCAATTCCAATTAGCGTTTCCGCGACTGTGTCTATGGTCAGGGTCAGTCCGCAGCTCGGTAGTCTCGTTGTGGAGCAAATGGCTCAGCACATTTGTATCCGCGAATCCACAACAAAGTAAGAGCAAGTGCCGCTGTCAGAACTGGGTCTATCTGGTCGCATTCAGTGTTCTGTTTGCATTTTGCATATAAAGCATTTACTGATACGCAGCACCAGTGCAGTGAAACGTGAGAGCGGCACAAGGGCATTCCACCGGTGGGGAGGGGTAATTATGGCATGGTGTCAGCATTGGGTAACGTGGCCTGTGTGTTTGAGGGTGACGCATTGCATGCATTACACAAATCGAGAACGTAATTAGCCGGTCAGCAAATGGGCATCGATTTACAATGTACATACAAAGTAATGATTAATTAATATCTTTAATAAAATGATTTACACTTAACTAAGCTATAAATTGCCACAAAATAAAAATGTCTAAGAAAACATAGGAATTGTGTTGAGATATCGCAGTATATCCTTCAATGTGATGCAAGGGTACTAAAAACGTAGGGAATCTTCACAGTGTCTATGCATGTAGATCAGCGACATAATCCCATACCATAAATGCACCCTGTTCAATCTTACAATGGTAAGATAACCATGGACGACTCTTATCGAGAAGATAGGTGAGGACGTGAACACCCATCGTAGCCGTAATAAAACCTTCCGCGGTAAGAGTTCTCCGAACTGATAGGATAATGATTTGCAGCTGTAAATATGAACCTAGATAATGTCCTAAGTAGAATAAGAATAATTGTAGAAAGCTTTATGATAATTTTGAAAGTTTTTTTATAAACATTTCGAAGCATTTCGGCTGCAGTCTATGTTAGATGCTTAAACAACGTCGTCGTATTCAATGATTATCATTACAACGATTATTATTACAACGCAGCTTCATGAGTTAAATACACCCCATGCAGTCGATGACTCTATTCTATTCTATTTAATTTAGCCGAGATTGCCACCTGTGGATGACCCCATGTTGCATCAAGTGTTGCGCCAAGCATACATATAAGCGATTCCTAATGCGTGTTCTTGCCATGTGCAAGCGATGCGACAAACGTAAGCATTCAAATTTAATGCGGAAATGTTCAGTTTACTGTTGTTGTCATTGTTGTTGTGGTTTTGTCGTTGATGTTGTTATTCACCTGCACCCCTCCAAGGCCTGCTGGCCCCCCCAACAGCTGCGAGTGTGTCGCGTTTACTTCCTTCAACGACACATTCCGTCTCTCTTCTCATCGACTTATGCAAGTAGCAAGGCAAGACGTGGCAAGGCAAGGCGCGACGAGGTGAGGCGAACTTCCCCCCGTAGCACATGCAATCGACTGCGCAACGCCTATGAGCATTTATCTACTCATTGTCAGGCCGGCCTTGATTACGTGTGCAGGCCCTGAGTGTTAGCTATGAGCTCTGTGGTGTCTGAGATGTCTATGGCTATGGCGTCTGTGGCGCCTGTGGGTTGGCTGGCGTGCGCACACGTGCCAACCACACATACCAAATTAGTTACAATTTATGCTTAATTAAAGCAAACGACGTTCAAGCCATGTCATTAGGCATTGCCAGCAAAGTCTAATTCAATTTCTTTCTAAATGCATGCCATTTGTTGTGACAACAGACGTCCACAAATAGATCACGCTTCGATACAATTCACAGGCGCATTTGTGGGCCAAGAAAATATATAAATAATTTAACAAACTTCGAGAAATGTTCGATTTTAGATTTTCTACACACTTTTGAAAATGCATTTTTCTTAAAATTTTTAAAATATTTCAATTATTAACACAAAAAACATATTTATTTTAATTTCTTCAGCTTTCTAAATATTTATTTAGTTTGATAATTTTAATTCTACCTTCACCCAAATATATATCATTCGAACCGCAATAAAATTCGGTGAAGCGAAAATGTATATTTGAAAATATTTCTACAACACGTATCCCAGCCCAGTGTGCAATAACCAGATCGTTACGTTGTCATTGGCAGGGCTGAATGAGGGGAGGCTAGAGTTTTATAGACGCCTGCACGTGGCTTTGTCACACCCATTTAGCATTCAGCATTTTAACGTGTTGCTGGAAATTAGCAGGAAACACAAACCAAAAACAAATAAATAAAACGAGTCATAACTTTCTGTATGACTAGATGCTCGACTCGAAAACACCCTTTACCCTACCAACGAAACTCACATACAAAATTAGCGGAAAAATAATTAATGTTTAAAGTTCTGCAGAATAACACGATAAGATATGGTTATATTCGTATGTACATGTATCTAAAAAAGTTTCCGTTCATATAGTCGAAGCGGTTTTTTCATAGGGTACAAGAAGAAAAATCACTTGGAATGAATTGTATTGAAGATGGCACCAATAAAACCAGGAACAATAGCAACAAATACGGCTACAAAAAGTCACGTCAGCAAAAGCAAAAGCAAAAAAGCAGCCGCTTCAATGTGGGAAAAGTATAAATAAGCTAGCAAAAGTAGTACAGTTATATCAACAATAAACACAATGGCAACAAAATAAAGGTTACGAGACTCACACGAAATGTTTCTTGTGAAAATATATGCTTAACCAATATTTATGCTATATTCTCTTGTGCTCATTCAGAAATTCGAAATGCTTGCGTTGCTTTTTATTAGCTTTTCTGAAAATACTGAGTGCTAAAGCAGTTGGTCAATTAGTGTCAAATAATGTTTGAGATTGATAAATAATAAAGTTGCAACGTGCTAATGTTCAAGTATATTATTGAGCAAAGCGCAAAGATCGATGGATTTTCATTGAATTTTAATGATATTCAGATATAGGAAAATTATTATTTTCGCTGTAGCCACTTGAAAGGGTTGCCCAAAAATCGATTTTCAGGCAATTGATTTCATCAGCAGATTTCGCCACCTGCTTTTATTAACCATTTGCCATACTTAGCTAATATCTGATGTTAATTGTCATGTCAATGTTAGACAAAAGTAAATTTTTTTAAGTAACATAAATAGAATCCCGCAACCCAAGATCAAAGTTTACAGAACATAACAGCTGAATAACAAAGCACCTAATCAAGCCGGATTATTTCAAGTAGCTCTTAGCTTTTAATCTGTTCATTTTCGAGCCAAACAGTTTTATTTTTAGCCCACTTTAGCTGGCTGATGCATGGACCAACGCGAGTTCCTAATGAAATTGCCTGAAGTTGCAGTCAACGACAATTGGGATTTACTTATTGACTATCGGGTCATGTGGGGTTAGACGGCTTATATAAATGTTGCTTACAGGAAACAACTGGATGCAATGCTGACGCAAATTGTTGCCATAACAAAGTCGTGTGTCAAAGCAATCAGCCACTGCAAAGACAACATGCCACAACATGCAACTGGCAACTGGCAACACGTGAAACGTACGTACAAAATTGGAACACGTGTTTCGGTGTAAGTATTTGTGGAGATAGCCAACAGATATGCTTGCCCAGGCTTACATAAATTAATTAGACCCGTTCAAGTAACGTGAGGGCCAGTTTGAGGAGCGTGCAAAAAATGGAAAAGAACAACAATGACAAATGACGTATGCGCCATGTGTGAAAGTCAAGAATTTTACTCACTATATCTCAGCACGGAACTAGTCTGTGTGGCTGCAGCCTCTGACGAGGAAGCTGTTGAAGCATTTGCGTGTGCCACGCCCATGTTGCTGCGTCGTCGCGCCTCCTTCTCGGAGCAGACTGTGGGCGCCATTGGAACTGCAAGCAAAGCAAAAAATACTATATTAATTGGCTAACAAATTGATTAATTGATTGATGCCCAAGTGTCAAACCCACCCATAACAATAAATTAAAATTAATTTAATAATAAGGCCACGAGTTCAATAAACCTTTAGCTTATCAATTAGTGGGCCAAGTACATTGCGCAACAGTTTAAATATAATTAAATGAGGCACGTGGCCAAAGTTCAAAGATTTGAGAAAAGCAACAAATACGAATTTGTAATTATTTGCCCTTTTCAGGTAGATCAACAGAGCACTCACCAAACATAAGCTTGGTTTATCTAACAAAAATTAGGAATTCATAATCACATTAAATCATTAGCCGGCTTAAAAATTGCTTTTGATATAAAATCTTTTTTGAATTAGCAGTCATTTATGAAGGCATTTTTTAAGTAAATGAATTGAGTTTTGAGCATTTGTTTCTAAGCAGTGCTAAACGTCTAATATATTTTTTAATATTGTTATTCAGCTTTTAATCTCTATGAATTTACAATACATTAATCATTCAGCAAGATAAACAACTTGTTCCCAGAATTCCCAAAACTAAAGTCATAACCTAAAGCTGAAGCTGTCATTTAAAGCAGCTACAACAGCAACAGCAACATCCACAGGAAATTGTCGGAATGTGCCCAAAAGTAGCTGAAACTCATTAGCCATTTCTTGAATTGGAGCGTAGGCCAGGTCCAAGTCAGGGCAGTTAGCGTTGCTTGCGTGCCAATTTCGTAAAAGGTAAACAACAAAATAGTCACAGTCCCAGACATGAATTGCATGAAGTAACCCCCAGAGAAATATGTAGAATTGCGAGCCAACAATTTGACGCTCATGCAAATTGCCAAAATGCGCGGCTCAGCTGTCGTTGGCATTGTGTTGGCCTGTCAGACAGATGAGCCTCAGGCAGCCTCTGCCACCCCGTCAAATTCTAATTCAAATTGAAAATCCCAACAAGAAGAAGAAGTAGAAGAAGACAAAGATGACGACGAAGAAGAGGAAGAGTAAGAGTAAGAGGGGCAACAAAGATGCTATTGTCGGCACGTGTATCTCTTGAGTGTAATTACATTTGGAAAGTGTGCGACCAAGAGGCATTTTTATTTTAAATACTTGTGGGCTATGTCGAGCTTTATTGTGGGCTGTGTGTGGGTTGTGTGGGCGTGGCATTTGCTAAGAGGATTTCAGAATGCCTTCAGAAGTGTATTGCTGTATTGTCAATGCGCAAATATGAGTAGCTGAAATTACATTTCAGTATTTATGTGTTCTGCCATTCAACACATCCGGCAAAATACGAAACATTTCTGGAGCTCATAGGCCCGCCGGCTAAGCCCACGTTTTAACCACAACCCTGCATCAAATCTTACAAAAACCGAGAAGCGAAACGTATGCGAGGCTCAGCAAACAACAAATAGTCCCTGTGGCATATTTGATGTGCACGCGCTATTCTCTCCCAATTCCCTCGGCTCTCGCCAGGCTGAGGGATGGCCGGGTGGGTCAGACAGGCTGAAAGAGATTTGGGGGTAAGCTGAGTCGTATTCACACCAGCCACACGCAAATGAATCGGCTATGCGAAACTGAGACTGAAGCTGAACTGAAGCTGAACTGACGCCTTGCCCGACTCGCTAATACACTTTTATACAATTTAGCTTGGCAAGTATTCAAATTGATTACTTAATATTTTTACAATAATACATTTGCTTTCTCTATGATAACTATTACGTGAGTTGTATAAAAAAGTAATTGTGTTAAATTGAGTCCAGATTTGTTTGCAGCTGAAACTGTTATATTTTCGATGCCTCAGTCGGTGGACTCTGTTCATTAGATATCGCTTACATAAATAGAAATAAGAAAAAGGTTATAACACATACATATGATATAAATCCCCAAGCGTATTCCACACTCAAATTGGCCCGATGACTTAAGCCTGCCTCGAACTGGACACAAAACGAGCAACACGTGTCGCTGCCGGCATACAAAATAAGCAAACAAAAAATACGCAAAAAAAAAAAAGAAGAAGAAGAAAGAAAAACATTGACTCATAGCAAATCTTGAAGAGAGCATCACATGTTATTAGCTATACATATGTAAAAGTCGTGACTCTGTCTGTGTGTTCGTTTGGCGTATGAATCAGGTGCTTTGGTACTAATTTTAAACACGCTAGGCAGTCACCTGTAGCTGGAGGTCATGTCAATCAATGGCCTTAATGAGAGCTGCCACTGCGTGTGCTTAAAATTAGCCAAATAATTGTCGGACACGACACGACGGCTGTCAAGGCAGGCCCAAAAACAAAACAAAGACCCCCCCGGAGTCAGCTCATTGACTTTTGAGATAAAATGAGAAATTGCCCGCACAATGGCTGCGTGGCTCAAATTGTTGGGGCGTTTCGGGCCAATTACTTTCGTAGGCACACAGCAGCCGTCAACAAAGGCGACCGACAGGCCAAACAGTCATTCAGTCAGTCAGGCTCGACCCGTGCACACATTAAATTGTTATTGTCAACGCTGTAAAAAACATACAAATGAGAAAACAAAAACAAGTTCAAAAAACTCCCCAGCTTAAATTGCTGCTGAAGGCGTTGTCACACTGAAGTTTACTTGGCGTCCATTTTACGATAACTCGCAGCAGTCTCCATAATGGCAAGAATACGTTGTTATGTTTATGGGCAGACAGCAGGCATTCAGTGACGTCTCCAACACACACACACATAGACACAAATACACACACTTTACGCCAGTCATGAAAAGCGTTTTATATTGGGCTTCATTTGTTCAAATGTCGCCGGGAATTCCCGTAACGCATTAGCCTTTCAATTATTTAAACATGTAATAAGTTCACTCTCATTAGCTGAAGCTTCACTTTTTTTGGTGATATGAGTAAGCAAGCAAGGCTTGTACTTTCCATTAATATAAAAATTAATCCATTATAATAAATCCATTAATAATAGAAAGTTGCACGTTACGCATACGCAACATGTATTTGTCAAACAGAACAACAAAGTGCGTAATAATATTTATTAAGTAAATATACATTGCATTTCAATATTTAATGAACAATCGCAAATGTGTTACGGCCTCATTTCGGCCACTCCAAGTAGCTGCTTGTGCGACTTAATCTAACACCTCTACACGTGCCGAGTATCACAAAACACGGAAACAACCACAACAGTAACGACAACAAAAAAAATCTTTATTTGTAGGTGCCGCCGCTAACAAAAATGTTCAACAATGTTCAGGCCAAAAGTACGAAGGTAACCAAGAAGAAAAAAAAAACTTTCCATGGCATATTTCCCACACTCGTTCATTTATTTCATTTGCGACCAAGAATGCGACCAAGTCTGCCTGGCGATTTTTCCATGATTAGAACGTAGATATTACTAGTTTATCTCAGTGGTTGAAATACCCAAAATAAGGCAAAGTATTTACGCATTTTAGACAACAATTAATTGTGAATTCAAAGTAAAAAGTGTTGTGCATTTTGAAATTTGATATATTTTGTATTATATTAACATACACATTTCCATATTATTTTCAATCTCTACGCTCTAAATTAAATTACAAAAACATTCCTACATTTTCAAAACTTCATTTCAGACATTACTGTCTTCTTAACTCGATTCCAATGACAAAAACAATAAAAGAATAAATGCTTACGTGGAAACTAAGCCAATAAAATTGGCATTGTAATTGAATTTATGAAGCATGTGGAACTGCAAAACGTGTCATACTTTAGATAAACAGCCTACAAAAAATGGACTGTGCCATCAAAAGATAAACAGAGCCAGTTCACAGACAACAAGACTGGCATATGTACATATATATATATATATGCATATATATATAAATGGCAGCTTATCAACATGAACTGAGAGAGAGAAAAACAGATAGACGTGAACATTTTTGGTTTTGGTAAGTGTGCAGTATTGCCAATTGAATTGCCACTGCCAGGCGATAAAAATTGATGATGGCGACAAGCAAAGCCAGGCAAATAAAAAAAAAAGTGAAACATTAAACGAGACACACGTGTGCCTAACGATGGCCCAATTGCCTTGCCAATGTCAAACAAAAGCAAGCCACGCGCAACCACAACAAATACTAATGCAAACACTAAGGCGAAAGGTTCCACAAAGAGCAGCTCGCTGAAGAGGTGGAGAAGTCAATTCAACCAAAAAACGTACAGCAGCCATGGCTATTAATTAGTACCGAGTCTTATTTACTTGCCAAATGAGCACGTCGAGGCATAACAAAAATAAACACACCAATATTAACACATATGATTATGCCATATATAAGGGAAGTGGATGGGCTAACCATGCAGCAGTTATCACAATTATAATTGGTAATATTTATAAACCAAAGTCGCAAATGATATTAATCATCTATTCATGATTGACGAATTTTGGAAAATTATCTACACATTAAAACAAAGTCTAACTCATGTCATATTTTAATAAAATTACGTACTATTTTATTATTTGTTTATTATTTATTATTACAAGTAATCCTTCTCTTAATATACTTGTAAGCCCTCCAAGATCATTTTTGTGCGAATTTCGTTGAAAAGTAATTACAAATAGACATTTGTGTGAACAGTTGAAATTATATTCAATCGCACAACGTGACGAAAATTCCAAAATGGAAAACAAAAACAATATCAACAAAGATTTTGATTGTTGTTCAGAAAATGACTGGCAATACAATGGAACAATTATAAAGCGTATTTTTGGGACGGCACATGGCGAACAATAAACAATCAAATTAGCTAAGTACTTCTATTTTTTAAAGTGCAATAAAAATGGCATTGTTGGACATTAAATCAAAGAAGTATGCGAAAACACATAAAACACAAAATCCGTTGAGATTTGCTTCTATTCGGCATTTTGACTTAACTGGCTTTGTTCATAAAACTCAGCGGGGAATTTACATGACAGTTTACTTTCAGGTCCTATGAATGGACTTATATTGTTATTTTTTATGTTTCTTTTATTTGCTT